GCTGGAAAAAGAAATGTTATACGCTGCAAAGATATATGTGATTCAATGTAATATAAAAATATTATGATAATAATAAATAAAATTACATTTAAAAAAAGAAATCCTAACCTCCAAGGTGATTATATTAGGAGATGGGTCTTTTAGGAGGTTATCAAATTATGAGGGTAGTTTATTCATGGATGTGAATAGTGTCCTTATAAAATCAGCCTGGAAAATGTTCCTTATCCATCTACCACATAAGGACACAGTTAGAAGGTGTCATCTCTAAATCAGAAAGCAGACCTTTAACAGACACTGAAAACTGCTGGCACCTCAACTTTGGACTTCCCAGCATGCAGAACTGTGAGTAAAACATTTTTGTTGCTTATAAGCTTCATAGTTATGGTATTTTGTTATAGCAACATAAATAGACTAAGATAATACATAAAGCAATGTCACATATCATTCATATTTGTATTATTATGGATGCCCTAAAATATTCTAGCTATTTCCACTTCTACAGGAGCACTAGAGAACATCTTTGGGTTAGCATAGTCATTTGTATCTCTCAGTCATTTTAAACTCTCTGATATTATTAAATCTTGCATGTGATCTTCCATTCATGCCAAGAAAACTATTATATAACAGTTTCGCTAAAACATAGGCCTCCTTCCCTTTACTCGATCTGCAAAGTGGGATTTTTTTCTCTAAGACCCACACAGAGTTCTTGTTCTCTTGGGCTAGAACATGAGTCATGGCATTTTACTCTTTGTGCTTGACCCCTGTCAATACATGGTAATTAACTCACACATGTTCTACTTCCTCAGCTGTCTTCCTTCTTTTCCCTTTCCTCATGCCCTTATCTAATCCATCCTGAAGTTCTTTCTTTCTAATCATTACTTAAACTCAGAATTCTTCACAGCCTAACACTCCAAGATGCTATTACCTATAGACCTAAGTTGGTGCCTGAAACCTACTGCTTCTATGTGTCCTGGTTCTTTATCTAGGCCACAAATACCAGTTTATTGGCATTCCT